AAGGCATCCGCTCCAGCCACGGCCACTATTTCCGAGACGTCGAGCCGAGAGCTACTGAGTCGACGCGAAAGCATCTCCGGGAAGGGACTCGATCAAGCCATAGCGGCTCCTATTTCCGCGATATGGAATGGAGAGCCGCCACGATGACTGACCGAGCTTCAGGTGAGCGAACCTCTCGCCTCCGCGTTTGATGATCGCCGCAGGAGATTCGTACTAACAGTCCCTCGCATTGGTAGTAGTAACGGCTTGACATTTTACAGGAATCTATATTCGCGCCGTTCTCGGAGAAGGCACTAGCCAATCGCGTACTTTTCGTTCCCTTGGATCCACGCAGAGTCGGCGCATGGCGGCGTGCGCCCCCGAAGCGAATCCGCGCGCAACCGCTGGCCCGTTGGCGGAAGCTTCGCACTCGGGAGTTCCGGCTCGACAGGCCGCGGCGGCGCCAGCAAAAGCCCCCTGCAGACATACCGAGCCGCCGTTTATCAACCCCCTGGTGGGGCCTCAAGTGAAATGGGCGGCGCGAGAACTTCAATCTCCTTTGCGGCCCCACAATCTTCGACTGCAGATGTTGCCGGCGTCGCGAACCCTTCTTCTGTCCGACATTCAAACACCTGCACAGCTCTGCCGGCTGTTGGTAGTAGCAGTCAAGTATCGGGTAGCCGTCTGGAATCGCCTACGAGCCCGTTACTGTTTGTGGCCGGTCGCTCTCCCTCTGAAGCGTCTTCTAGCAGCAGCGAATCCGTTCTCAGCGAAATGTCCTCCGCTGGAAAATTAACGTCAGCTGGGACGGAGTTCAAGGGGAGGATAAGAACGAGAGATTGCGCTGTGGAGGTGGTAGGCGGAGCGAATCCCGCCGCTGTTGAGTTGTACTTCAAGCGGAAGGCGCAAGAAAGAGCGCGCGCTGCTGCTCCTGCTGCCTTTGCAGCCGTCGGTGGCAGCTGATGGTGCATATTTGGTTCAAAGCTAGTGCAGTATGGTACAGTAAATGTCTCCAGTGCCCTAAATTACGTTAAAACCCGAAGCCTGAATTACAAATCTGAGTCAACGCTAGGTTCGGGTTGGGTTCGGTTTGGGCTGAGTGAGGTTTGTAAGAATCGCGAAAGTAACGAGCTAGCGAAAACAAAATGCGACAACACGAGTGCTGGAGTAGAGTAAGAAAATGTGCGACAGCACAGCTAACAACTCTTTCACTCACTTTTAGATTCTGATCGCACACCACTAGGGTTTTTTAGTGAGCACATTTCAGACAACCGGAACTAGTAGGTGCAGCGCGTATATGCAATCGAAGGGAAACGCAGGCGCAAGATGCGAGTGTCAAGCACGGAAAAAATGGGCACGAGGAGATGAGAAATTAGCACTTTGCCGACCTCGCGACCCTCGACCGTCGCCCTTGCTTTATCCGCCTACCGCCCTCGCCTCGCCCGTCGCCCTCGCCGCCCCGCCGCCCGTCGCCCCCTCTTCCTCGGCCCGTCGACCTCGCTTTCCCCCGCCCGTCGCCCTCGCTTCCCCTCCCCATCGCTCGCCCCATCGACCTCTCCTCTCCCACCTGTCGCTGCGTCGATGTCGTTCTCATTCCCGCCGCCCATGCCTACTCCCCTCTCTCGCGCCGACGCCCTGGTTTTCCACCCCGCCGCCTTCTCTCCTCTTCCCATTCGAACACCTATTGTCCCTTCAATCGCTGCTGCTTCCTTTTTGCGGAGGCCACTTTCCCCCTTCTCATTCTCCGTTTTCAGTCGCATCATCTCCCAATCCGCCCACGTCGCAACTTGCATTCTAATTCATGTCGAGCTCAGTTTCCCCCCCGGAATGTGCTCAGTTTCCCCCCCGGAATGCGCTCAGTTTCCCCCCCGGAATGCGCTCAGTTTCCCCCCCGGAATGCGCTCAGTTTCCCCCCCGGAATGCGCTCAGTTCCCCCCCCGGAATGCGCTCAGTTTCCCCCCCGGAATGCGCTCAGTTTCCCCCCCGGAATGCGCTCAGTTTCCCCCCCGGAATGCGCTCAGTTTCCCCAATGGAATGCGCTCAGTTTCCCCCCCGGAATGCACTCAGTTTCCCCCCGGAATGCGCTCAGTTTCCCCCCGGAATGCGCTCAGTTTCCCCCCGGAATGCGCTCAGTTTCCCCCCCGGAATGCGCTCAGTTTCCCCCCGGAATGCGCTCAGTTTCCCCCCCGGAATGCGCTCAGTTTCCCCCCCAGAATGCGCTCAGTTTCCCCCCCGGAATGCGCTCAGTTTCCCCCCCGGAATGCGCTCAGTTTCCCCCCGGAATGCGCTCAGTTTCCCCCCCGGAATGCGCTCAGTTCCCCCCCCGGAATGCGCTCAGTTTTCCCCCCGGAATGCGCTCAGTTTCCCCCCCCGGAATGCGCTCAGTTCCCCCCCCGGAATGCGCTCAGTTCCCCCCCCGGAATGCGCTCAGTTTTCCCCCCGGAATGCGCTCAGTTTCCCCCCCGGAATGCGCTCAGTTTCCCCCCCGGAATGCGCTCAGTTTCCCCCCCGGAATGCGCTCAGTTTCCCCCCCCTGAGCGCTCGGATTCCCCCCCTGATTGCGCTCAGTTTCCCCCCCTGATTGCGCTCAGTTTCCCCCCCTGATTGCACTCAGTTTCTTCCCCCACCCCCCCTGATTGAGCTCAGTTTCCCCTGAATGTCCTCCGTCACCCCCCTGGTTCCCCTGTTTCCCCCCCTGGTTCCCCTGTTCGTTTCCCTGGTTCCCCTGTTTTCCCCCCCTGGTTCCCCTGTTCCCGCCCCCTGGTTCCCCTGTTCCCGCCCCCTGGTTCCCCTGTTCCCGCCCCCTGGTTCCCCTGTCCACCCCCTTCTTGCCTTCCACGCTGTCTAGGCCAGCATCCTTCCCGCCTATCCTCTTCTCACTGTTCCTCTCTCTTCTCACCCCCTTCTCTTCTCTCATCCCTTCCTCCCCTCTCTCATCCCTTCCTACCCTCTCTCATCCCTTCCTCCCCTCTCTCATCCCTTCCTCCCATCCCTCATCCCTTCCTCCCTTCTCTCATCCCTTCCTACCCTCTCTCATCCCTTCCTCCCCTCTCTCATCCCTTCCTCCCATCCCTCATCCCTTCCTCCCTTCTCTCATCCCTTCCTCCCCTCTCTCATCCCTTCCTCCCCTCTCTCATCCCTTCCTCCCCTCTCTCATCCCTTCCTCCCCTCTCTCATCCCTTCCTCCCCTCTCTCATCCCTTCCTCCCCTCTCTCATCCCTTCCTCCCCTCTCTCATCCCTTCCTCCCCTCTCTCATCCCTTCCTCCCCTCTCTCATCCCTCCTCCCCTCTCTCATCCCTTCCTCCCCTCTCTCGTCCCTTCCTCCCCTCTCTCGTCCCTTCCTCCCCTCTCTCATCCCTTCCTCCCCTCTCTCGTCCCTTCCTCCCCTCTCTCATCCCTTCCTCCCCTCTCTCGTCCCTTCCTCCCCTCTCTCATCCCTTCCTCCCCTCTCTCATCCCTTCCTCCCCTCTCTCATCCCTTTCTCCCCTCTCTCATCCCTTCCTCCCCTCTCTCATCCCTTCCTCCCCTCTCTCATCCCTTCCTCCCCTCTCTCATCCCTTCCTACCCTCTCTCATCCCTTCCTCCCCTCTCTCATCCCTTCCTACCCTCTCTCATCCCTTCCTCCCCTCTCTCATCCCTTCCTCCCATCCCTCATCCCTTCCTCCCTTCTCTCATCCCTTCCTCCCCTCTCTCATCCCTTCCTCCCCTCTCTCATCCCTTCCTCCCCTCTCTCATCCCTTCCTCCCCTCTCTCATCCCTTCCTCCCCTCTCTCATCCCTTCCTCCGCTCTCTCATCCCTTCCTCCCCTCTCTCATCCCTTCCTCCCCTCTCTCATCCCTTCCTCCCCTCTCTCATCCCTCCTCCCCTCTCTCATCCCTTCCTCCCCTCTCTCGTCCCTTCCTCCCCTCTCTCGTCCCTTCCTCCCCTCTCTCATCCCTTCCTCCCCTCTCTCGTCCCTTCCTCCCCTCTCTCATCCCTTCCTCCCCTCTCTCGTCCCTTCCTCCCCTCTCTCATCCCTTCCTCCCCTCTCTCATCCCTTCCTCCCCTCTCTCATCCCTTCCTCCCCTCTCTCATCCCTTCCTCCCCTCTCTCATCCCTTCCTCCCCTCTCTCATCCCTTCCTCCCCTCTCTCATCCCTTCCTCCCCTCTCTCATCCCTTCCTCCCCTCTCTCATCCCTTCCTCCCCTCTCTCATCCCTTCCTCCCCTCTCTCATCCCTTCCTCCCCTCTCTCATCCCTTCCTCCCCTCTCTCATCCCTTCCTCCCCTCTCTCATCCCTTCCTCCCCTCTCTCATCCCCCCTCCCCTCTCTCATCCCTTCCTCCCCTCTCTCATCCCTTCCTCCCCTCTCTCGTCCCTTCCTCCCCTCTCTCGTCCCTTCCTCCCCTCTCTCATCCCTTCCTCCTCTCTCTCATCCCGTCCTTCCCTCTCTCATCCCTTCCCCCCCTCTCTTGTCCTTTTTCAACCCTGTTATTGTCTTCAACAAGCATGTAACTCGAAGAGCTGGAGTGGTTTCACGACCCTGTGACTCACCTGCATTCCCTCCCTTCCCTGTTTCTAATTTCCCTCTCCAGTCCTTCCCACCTTCCCTCTCTTCACGAGCTATGCATTGCAGCATGGAGCAACCCAGTACGATTTGATTTCAGTTGAGGCTGCTGTGTGTCCTCATTGTGACATCCAATGGCATCTTACACCATGTTGAAACTGTACTCAAGTCGCTGTTCATGCTGCTGTTATGGTAGCCTCTGTTAGTTTTCTTTGTAACCCGTTTCACCGTAGACCGGCATACAAATCAGGCGACAACATGTAAACGTTTAGACCCACATATATTTTCTTTGAGATGTAATACACATGACATAAGCTTGCATTATCAGAATAAAAGACCAAGCTCGAACCATTGCTTTAGTCTTGTGTGTTTCCATCTTCCCGTCCCTTTTGCAATGTGGCTCGTCTGGGCCTTTGACATGCTGAAAACAGGAGCAAGCGAAGGCAGCACGTCCATGCAGGTCGTCTGGGCCTCTGTCATGCTCGCCTGGGATGGGAGAGGAGAGGATGGGGAGAGGAGAGGATGGGAGAGGAGAGGATGGGAGAGGAGAGGATGGGGAGAGGAGAGGATGGAAGAGGAGAGGATGGGGAGAGGAGAGGATGGGGAGAGGAGAGGATGGGGAGAGGAGAGGATGGGGAGAGGAGAGGATGGGGAGAGGAGAGGATGGGGAGAGGAGAGGATGGGGAGAGGAGAGGATGGGGAGAGGAGAGGATGGGGAGAGGAGAGGATGGGGAGAGGAGAGGATGGGAGAGGAGAGGATGGGGAGAGGAGACGATGGGGTGAGGAGAGGATGGGGAGAGGAGAGGATGGGGAGAGGAGAGGATGGGGAGAGGAGAGGATGGGGAGAGGAGAGGATGGGGAGAGGAGAGGATGGGGAGAGGAGAGGATGGGTGTGCGTCAAGCAGAGCACAGCACAGCACCGCAGAGCCCCAGAGCAGCGCAGAGCACCGCATCTCGCGTAGCTGTGCACAGCAGAGCAGAGCACCACACTGCACAGCACTGCAGAGCAGAACAGAGCTCACAACCGCACAGCAGAGCATGTTGTGTTGTGGGTCACCTGTAGCACGAGCACAGCAGCAGCTGTAGCACGCGCTTCCGGTTGTCCCTGCAGAAGATGGTGAAGGGGCGGGAAGGGGGTAAACAGGGGAGAGGGGGCTGGGGGAAAATAGGATCGAGGCTATAGAGGGAAATAAGGGAGAGGGCGATCGGGAAGGGAAACAGGGGGATCTTGTTGAGACGGAATGGAGTGAGGCGGAAAGGGGTGGGGAGGAGATGGGGTGGGGCAGACTGGGTTGGGGCGGAATGGGGTGGGGCGGAATGGGGTGGGGCGGAATGGGGTGGGGCGGAATGGGGTGGGGCGGAATGGGGTGGGGCGGAAAGGGGTGGGGCGGAAAGGGGTTGGGGCGGAAAGGGGTGGGGCAGAAATGGTGCCTCCCACGGTGTCGCGGCGCCCCCGACTCAGCACGACGACTCGCCCCCACTCCTCCACCTCGCGTCCACCCCATCCCTGAGGGCAGGGAGAGAGCGTGCGCGACGGGGAGGAGTGAGCGTGGGACGAAGGGAATTGGCCGTGTGCGACGAGCGGGGGTGAGCGTGTGCGACGAGCGGGGGTGAGCGTGTGCGACCGAAGGATTGCGCGAAGGCGATGGGAAGGGTGTGAGCGTGGGCGACGGGAAGGGAGTGAGCGCGGGCGACGGGAGTGAGCGCGGGCGACGGAAGTGAGTGAGAGTGGGCGACGGAACGATTGCGCGAAGGCGATGGGAAGCGAGTGAGCGTGGGCGACGGGAAGGTCTTGGGCGGGGGTGGCGGAAGAGAGTGCGCGCGGCGGGCACGGAGTGCGCGTGGGCGACGGAAGGAATTTGTAATCCGCAACCCTGGGAAGCGAGCGTGCGCGACAATGGGGATTGCGCAAAAGAGACGGGAGGGGAGGGAGCGTGCTCGTTGGAGCGAGGAAGCGTGAGCGATGGAGGGGAGTGCGTGTGTGGGACGGAAGGGGATCGGGGAGAAGAAGCGAATGTGACGAAGTAATAGAATAAAATATTTGAAACGCGGACAGAGAGGACGCTGCGGCTATGAACAAGGGCGACATCGATGCGGTGGGCGATGGTGAGGTGCAACCAGGGCGACGAGCCTATGTGCATCCATGGGCACGGCTAGCTATGTCGATCGAGTAAAAACGTGCCCTAGAATAGCGAAAAGTTTATCCCTGGCATTTACGGAATGGAGTAATAGTCCTAAAGAGTAAGGCGGAAATAAGAGACCTGGGGCTGGAATGGGGCTGGAGCCTAGCTGTTCTAAGCTATGGCTGCGGCTCTAGCTGATCAGACTAGGCAGTTTCTGTCGACCTGAATTACATATTTCGAGTTTGGTGTGCACACCTCGGCCAGAGTGGTTGCGCAGGAACTGAGCGACACCTCCCTGAGCTGCCTGCGACTTCATCACGTTTTGCAGGTGAACAACTGGTAACCACCCTGGTTCGGGAGGGAAGGTGTTGTCAGAATGAGGAATGGGTGTTCCATTGATGTTGGTTGGGGTACATATAACAAACCCTAACTTCTGTACCCCCTAAGACAAACCTCACTACAGGCTACAACATTTGACACACCCCCATAGCCTAAGTGAGGGGTGTCTAGCAAAAACAAAAAAAAAAGAGTACGGTCACAAGACCAGTCCAAAAGAAAACAAAGCTCAGGGTGGATCACAACGTCACCACACACTCTGAGCACAAGCAACAGTGGCCACAAGGCCAGTCCAAGAGATCACAAGTATATATAGTAAGTGTACAGACGAAGCAGGCAATAAACTCAAGTCTACGCATGACTAGAACCTGTGTCAACAAGGCCTAACTGCACACAACACCTCTGATGGTCACAAGGCGGAAGCGCCTTGGTGAAGATGTCTGCAGTGTTGGCCTCGGACTCTACAAACTCGAAGCGAGCCTGTCCACGCCTCTGCAACTCTCGCAGAAGAAAGTACCTGACGTGAATGTGCTTCACTCTGCTCTCCAGTCGCGGCTCACGACAGAGGAGGATCGACGCCTTGTTGTCAGTAAACAAGGTCGGTGCAGAGCTCGGCCGCTCACCAAGGTCGGCGAGCAAGAAGGTCAACCACCGCAACTCCTGTGCCGCCATGGCACCAGCGTAAATCTCAGCCTCAGCTGTAGAGGTCGAGACAGAAGAGGAGCGCGTGGAACGCCAGGAAACAGCTCCAGAACTCAGACTGAAATAGTACCCCTGAGTAGACCTGTGAGTCTCAGCGTCGTCAGCGTAAGAGGAGTCACAGTGACCGGTGAGTACGACAGACTGCTGCCCTCCAAGAACTAGCCCCACTCCTGATGTAGTCGCTAGGTACTTCGCCACCCTCACAGCTGCCGTCCAGTGAACAGGACGGTGTCTCCCTGGCGCAACAAAGCGCGCAAGGATGCTGAGAGGGAAGGCGAGGTCCGGGCGAGTACAAGTCATCAGGTACATGAGGCAACCCACAAGCTCTGCGTAGGGACCACTAGGCTCAAACGGCTCGTCAGGAAAGGGACCAGTGAGTCTGTGGTCAACAGCTAGAGGTGTGCGCTGTACGGTGGAGTGCTGAAGCCCGAACCGCTGAAGGACCTGCTGCACCATGTGTGACTGTGAGAGTGTAATGGTGCGAGCGGCTCTGTCCCTGGTGATCTGCAGGCCAAGGTAGTGGCGCAGCTCACCAAGATCAGTGCACGTGTGTCTCTTCTGCAGTTCGGACTTCACGTCTGCCAAAGCAACCCTGTCCGAAGTGGCGAAAACGAGGTCGTCGACGTAGACCAGAACAAAGAACGGTGTGGAGCCACGACGAACGAACAGCGACGGGTTGGCAGAAGACGGCTGGAACCCAAGGTCAGAGAGGGTAGAACGCAGAGTGTCGTGCCACTCACGAGGGGCCTGGCGAAGACCGTAAACAGGTCGCCTCAGCCTCCACTGGGTCCCAGGAGGGAAAGTGCCAGTGAAGGCCGAGGGACGACGCAACCAGACCTCCTCGTGTAGACTGCCCTGAAGGAAAGCAGTGGAGAAGTCAAGAGAGTGTAACTCGTAGTCTCTCTGTGCTGCTACGTGTAGTAACACCCGAAGAGTGGTCATCTTCGGGGTAGGTGCGAAGGTCTGAAAGAAGTCAACTCCCTCGCGCTGACTGAAACCTCTAGCCACGTAGCGCGCCTTGAAGACCGGGGGAGATCCCGGTGGCCGCTTCACCCTGTGGATCCACATGCCGTCGAATACGTTCGCCCCAGGGGGGGGAACCTCATCGACGTAGGTGCCTGTGGATCTGTAGGAGGCCATCTCTGCGTCCATGGCAGCTCTCCACTGAGAGGCCCAAGGCCCTGACACTGCCTCAGCGTAAGTGCGAGGAGTCGGAATGTCAAGGGCGTCGGGGTCACCCTCAGGGGCGAGGAGCATGGCACAGAGATGAGGGGAAGCGGCCGCCAGGAACTCTAGCTCAAACTGCCTGTCCTCTAGGGCGTCACAACCAAGGGCAGACACACCCCCGACGACCGGAGGACTGGTAGGAGGAGCGGTCACAAGCGTGGTGGCGTAGTCAAGGCGGCGGGTAGAGGCAAAGTCAGTAACCGCGGCAGTAAGAGCGGACAGAGAGGACACAGAGACACGAGGGTGAGTAACAAGAGAGGCGAGAACACGAGAGAGAACAGGACGGTACATGCGGTAGTAGTCAGTGACAGGAGTAGGGAGCGACACAGTGAGGGCCGACTCAGGAGGAGACGGAAGCACAGACTGAGACGGACGAGGTGGACTAGAAAGAAGGAAGGCAGTACGAAGGTCAGTGAAGGGAACAGGAGACGAGGGACGAGCACGAGGGGAGCGACGAGTAGCCCAAGAACGAGACGGAGGAGAAGAGGACAAGGGCGGAGAACTGGGGAAAACAGCAGGGGAGGAGTCAGGAGGAGGAAACGTGGGACCGTAGACAGGAGGAGAGGCGGAGGAGGGAGGAGAAGGGGAGGGGAGACCAAGGATCCGAAGACCCGAGACAGGAGGAGGAAGTGGCTGCTGCTGCTGCGGCTGCGACTGCTGCTGCTGCGGACGCGGGTGCTGCTGGGACTGCTGCTCCTGCGGGTCCAGCTGCTGCTGCTGCTGCTGCTGCTCCTGCGGCTCCAGCTGCTGCTGCTGCTCCTCCAGCCGCTGTAACTCCCTCTCCTCTCTCTCCAACGCCAGCTGCTCGTCACGGGCACGGCGAACACGAGCCTGGTGCCTATTCGGGTAGGGGTGGGTGGGTAGAGTAGTGTCCGAAGCAGCGGCAGCTCCAGAGTCCACCCCAGAAGAACTAGGCGCACCACCCCCAGAGGCAGCACTAACACCAGCTCCAGACCCAGGCTCACCTGAACCCGAAGGAGGCGCACCCTCACCCCCAGACGCAGCACCCCCAGTGTCCGCGCGGCCAGCACCAGCTCCCGGACGACAAGAGTCCTCTGCACCCACCGGGTCAGCTCCAACTCCAGAACCAGAAACTCCAGCTCCAACCCCAGCTCCAACTCCAGCTCCAACTCCAGCACCCCCAGAACCAGAAACCGGTACAGGAACAGGCGCCGCACCAACCTCTCGAGAGCTAGCACCAGCGGCACGCTGCGAGGAGGACTGTGGGGAGGGAGGCTGTACCGGAGGGGCTACCGAAGGAGGAGGGGTAGCCTGGGACACACCTGACGGGGCTGGACCAGGGGGGGGAGGCTGTACCGGGGGAGCAGGAGGGGGAACGGCAGTCAGGAAGAGGGGGGGAGGAGGAACCGGGAGACCTCGACTGGGGTACCTGACGTAGTACGGAGTGGACTCCTCGAAACGGACGTCACGGGAGTCAAAGAACCGGTGAGAGGGAGGGTGGTAAAAGGTGAAGTCAGAGGAGTCCTCAGGGAAACCAAGGAAGACACAGGGGACGGCACGAGGCGAGAGCTTGTCCGCGGAGGTGTCGCGGACAAGAGCCAAGCACCCCCAGACGCGAAACCGCGACGCAACACCAGGGGACCCTGTCCAAAGACTGGTCGGTGAAACCTCTGGTCGAGAGACACGTGGCCAGAGGTTCAGTTGGTGCGCGCCGTACCTGACCGCGTAGGGCCACAGAAAATGGGGGGCACAGGCGTGAGTCAGGGAGGTGCGGGCGATCTCCATGACCAGGCCTATGCGGCGCTCAGCAACCCCATTCTGCTGTGGGGACTCTGGAAGCATCCAGGACTGACGAATGCCCTGCTCGCGACAGAATCCAGCGAGAATGCCGGAGCGAAACTCACCCCCACGGTCGGAGTGGAGACAGCTGACACGACGACCACGAGTGTCCTCAGTGGTGAGCAACCACCTGATCAGCGTAGAAGTCACCTCAGACTTCTTCGCCAGAGGGAACACTGTGGTGTAGCGGGAGAAGTCGTCAACGACCACCAGAAAGTAACGCTCACGCTCAGGGCCTAGACGAGGGGCTGGGCCCCAGACGTCCAAGTGAAGCGTCTCAAAAGGCTCGGTGGCCGGACGAAGGGAGGAGGAGTGAGGGGTGGCGCGCAGCCTACCCTCCACGCAGGGACGACATGGCGGCGCAGGCGAAGGCGGCAGCGACGGCAAGACACGTGGGAGGCCTAGGACAAGACGCTCACTAGACATAGCGCGCAGACGTGGAAGGGACGGGTGCCCCATCCGGTGGTGCCACAGAACGGTGGGGTGGGCAAGTGACCGCTAGGAGCACGACGCAGCGACTGGAACAGACGTAGGAACCTGACACAACACAGACACCTGGGGGGACGTAGCAACCTGGTGAGACGCGGGGACCCGAACGGGGGGGGGAACCGGGGGCACTGGCAGTAGGGGGGGCTGCTGGTGCGGCCGCTGGTGCTACTGCTGCTGCTGCTGCTGCTGCTGCGGCTGCGGCTGCTGCTGCTGCTGCGGCTGCTGCTGCAGCGCACGCGGGCCAGTGTGAAGAGTGTAGAGACCCGAGCCCGGCTCAGCAGTAAAGGTAGCAAGAGGCTGGTAAGAGTCTCCGTCAACATACACCGCAGTCTCTCCAGAAGGCTCAAACCACACACCCACGTGCTGACTCACGAGGGGTCGCACGCCCACCAAGTTCCGGGAGAACGAGGGGACGTGAAACCCAGTGAGAGACCCGGAGGGAGCAGCAGGACACGGTAAAGTGGTAGTGTGACGTGCAGTGACTGGTCCCGTAGTGGGATCAGCCAACGCTACAGAAACAGGCGCAGGAAGTGGTGTAAGTGTCGTGCTGTCCCGAAAGAAGCAGTGGGAGGCTCCAGAGTCCAGTGTGAACGACAGCGAAGCGTCCTCTGAGGTAGTCGCTGGTCTAGAGTCTACACAAGTACCTACACTAGCAACAGGCAACTGAGCAAGACTAGCACCTAAGCTAACAACACCAGAGTAAACAGAGTCAGAAACAGTAGAGTCAACAACAGCATACATAGCATGAGGAGCACTAATCAGATCAACTAACTGCTCTGCAGACATGCCCCACAGAGCGGAGCCGTAGCGCTGAACCAGAGGAAGCCAGTCAGGAGCAGGACCGCCAACCCCGTAGGTCAACCGGACCGTGTCAGTGAGCTGAGCAAAGCACTGACCAGGGGGGTGAAAGCGGCCACAAGGGTGGCCCCGACGAGGACCTGTCTGAACCTGGTAGGGGCAGGGAGGGTAAGCAGCACCGCGCTGGGGCTGACGCAGCCCCGACCCCGGAGCCAGCTGCTGACGTTGCTGCTGCTGAGGCTGCTGGGAGGAAAGGGGTTGCTGCTGCTGCTGAAGGTGCTGCTGACGCTGAGCCTGGTACCACGCCGCTGCTCCACCTAGTGGGGCCGGCAGTACAGGAGGCGACTGACGAGCTCGAGGGTCGCCGCCACCAGCAGGTGCAGTGGAGTCACCAGCCGCTGCACGAGGGGTCTCTCCAGACGCTGCACTCCCACCACCGCTAGTCGCAACAGCACCCCCACTACCTCCGCTACCTACGCCTCCACCTCCACCGGAACCACCTTTCTTGCCCCCCCTGCCGCGGGACCGCGACGCAGTCGTAACAGCAGCCGCAGTCGCGTCAGTAGCGGCAGTGGCAAGAGAGGCAGTGAAGGTGGGTAACTGCGGGACTGTGCACCCGTGGAAGAGAGGGGGGGACACAGTACCAGAGGCGGCAGCTACCGAACGAAGGTTGCTTTCGACGTCCTTGAGTGCAGACTCAAGGACCTCGACAGTCAGCTCACTAGGGTGCTTCAGCAGAAGCGCGTCACGAACGGAGGCAAGGCGGTCAGGGAGGCTAGTGGCGATGAAATAGACAGTAATCGCCATGGGGGGGGGAAGCAGTGCAAGCTGTGCCTCAGTGCAAGCAGCGCGATAACTAGCGTCGAGCGAGCGGAGGTGAGCGATCAAGTCAGCAGAGCGCTCAAACGAGGCAAGATCAGGAAACAGGAACGGGAGGAAAAGACGGCCGAGAGAGACAGTAGCGGGAGTAGAGTAGCGGGCCTTAATCGCAGTGAGGTACGCAGCAGCGGTGCGAACCTGAGTAAAGTGGACCTCCTCGGACTCAGGGAGGAGGCTGCTGAGTGCGATGCAGGCCGCAGCGTCACGCGACGTCCAAGCCGTCCGGTCAGCGCGCTGACGGGCAAAGCGAGCCGTGGCAGCGTCGTCAGGAGCAGGGCCTAAAGCTGTAGGCTCGGGGGGCTCGGGGAGGTCACCAGTAGCGTGTGACCAGAGGGTCTCGCCCCCCTGGACCTGACTCTCTAACAGACGACGAGCGCGAAGAAGCCAGACGGAAAAGTCAAGGGGTCTACCGTCGGCGTCGAAACGAAGAACTCGCGGAGTCGCCATAGTGAGAACCAACGCGAACGAACAGGCGAGTAACAACCGGGGGGGAAGAGGACTCAGTCGCAGCGGAAGAGCGGGCTAGGGCGACGGGCCAGGGCCTAGGGTAGGGCGACGGGCCAGGGCCTAGGGTAGGGCGACGGGCCAGGGCCTAGGGTAGGGCGACGGGCCAGAGCCTAGGGAGGGCGACGGGCCAGGGCCTAGGGAGGGCGACGGGCCAGGGCCTAGGGAGGGCGACGGGCCAGGGCCTAGAGAGGGCGACGGGCCAGGGCCTAGGGAGGGCGACGGGCCAGGGCCTAGGGAGGGCGACGCGACGGGGGAAAGGGCGGGAGCGACGCGACGGGGCAGGGCGACGCGACGGGACAGGGCGACGCGACGGGGCAGGGCGGCGCGACGGAGCAGGGCGACGGGACAGGGCAGGGCGACGCGACGGGGTAGGGCGACGCGACGGGACAGGGCGACGGGACAGGGCAGGGCGACGCGACGGGACAGGGCGACGGGACGGGGGGGGTAACAGGCGGGCGCGACGCGACGGGGGGAACGGGCGCGACGCGACGGGGGGAACGGGCGCGACGCGACGGGGGGAACGGGCGCGACGCGACGGGGGGAACGGGCGCGACGCGACGGGGGGAACGGGCGCGACGCGACGGGGGGGGAACGTGCGCGACGCGACGGGGGGAACGGGCGCGACGCGACGGGGGGAACGGGCGTGACGCGACGGGGGAGATGGCGCTAGGCTCGGTACTAGGCGCGGTAACAACGAAACTGGTACGAACGAGAGGTAGGATCAGGCTCGGGAGGTACGAACGGAGAACGGAGGAACGGGATCCCACAGGATCCTAACCTAGCTGATACCATGTCAGAATGAGGAATGGGTGTTCCATTGATGTTGGTTGGGGTACATATAACAAACCCTAACTTCTGTACCCCCTAAGACAAACCTCACTACAGGCTACAACATTTGACAGGTGTTAACACCTCCCAACTTTTTTTGTAATTCAGGCTGCGGGTTTTAAGGTTGTATTTAGCTCTTAGGGCTGTTCCTACGGCCCCTTATCAGGCCAACCTCTTATCAAGCTCACGTCAAAACACACTGAAAATTCCCTAAACCCAAAACCCTCGCTACTTTCACCAGGCAAGGCTGACAAGAGGTTTGCCTGATAGAGCGTAGGAACACGCCCTTACTAGTTGCAGAACTGGCCGGCAGTATAAGGGCGCGTAACCATTTTGCATTTTACGTTTTCGACGGACAGTCCGCTTAGAACGAAGCGGACGGTTCTATTCTCGAGAACGGGACCGTCCGAATCAAAAATTTGCAACTTCGGACTGTCCGAAGGCTAATGTGACACTTTTTTGGGGCTGTTGATTTTTGCGACTACTGTAGCCTCGTTAGAGGCCTTGTATCTTCGTAATTTATCTCGCTACATTCTCGGTATTAGCTTCGTCGGCGAATCGTTATGATTTACTGTACATTAAAATTCGCCCACCAATACCTAGCCAGAAATGGTGGACTGTCCGTTTGGGTTTCGGACAGTCCACGGTTCACAAAGCGGAGTGTTGGAAATGTGAAAAAGTGTCACGACAGTCCGTTAGGTTGGCGACGTCGCCAACACCTCCGCGAAGATCTAAACGATAATCAACGAAGCAAGTTACATTTCGCCACGACGGACCGTCCGCAGTTCGAACCGTCGGGTGCAAAATGGTTACGCGCCCTAAGATCCGAAGCCTGTGTGAAGGAAAATGCACTAATATTGCAAATATAGCGAAAACAAACTGCCTGCTATATTCATTTCCGCACAGTTCTCGCACCGTCCCTCTGCGCCTTCATCCTCAAATATGCCTCCACAGCAGCAGGATTGGCTCCAGCCTTCACACGCATGGATAACGCAGCATTCCGAACAGGCGAATTCGCTAATGCCATCTCTTGCGCACTCCATCCACCCTCTACACCCCCCTGCATCCCCCCATTCCTCCCGGGACCGAACGCCTCTTCCCCCTTCTCACCCGTTCGCTCACTATCCACCAAATCTGCTTCCGCGGGGGGGTGCGATTTGGAAATACCGAACCTGGTTTTCAAGGCACCTGGGCTCCCGTTCGGACTTCCATTATTGTCACTCAAGCTCGGGCTGGTACCACTGGAACGACTGTTACCGCCATTGTTCCAGCCTAGGCCCGAAGCGCTGCAGCTACTCCTGCCAGTAACACCACCCGAAGAACCTTCCGCAGCAGACGGCAAGCCCCCGAAGCTATGGCTCGAAGCCTGCGTGTCTAGGCGATATTTCATGAGAAACGGATCCACCGAACCGCACACCGAAGCTGGCGGAGAGTTAATCATAGGCTGCCCGGGACGCTCGTTGAAACTTCCAGCGCATTGCATCCTAGCGGCGCTGGCAGCGTCAGGAACGGCGGACGCGGCGGAAGAAGCGAGGCCAGCGGCGCTGCTGGTAGACGCGGGGGGCAGGCAAGCCCAAGGGACGACGAAAGATGCCGCGAGCGAATCGTTCCCCGTTATTGGCGGCACTTCTTTGCCGTTGGAGACGTGTAACGCGTCGAGCGCATCTTGAAGCTGACGTTGCTCATAAAGTTCGGCCTCGGATGTCGAGTTGATTTGTTGAGATTCGTCGTCTTCTTCCAAAAGATCCGTGAGATCTATGCCGTCGATCTGCAGATTGCTTGAATCCATCAGCGCGCACGACCGTTCAATGTCTGCGGAAAAAAAAAGCCCTATATATACATGAGTCAAGAATGCAGAGACACGTGGAAGACGAATCGACCCGATTGCGCGTTGTGCAGTACATTATGCACATTGCGAATACAAGACTCCTCTTTCAGCAGTCAGCTCTCATCAATTTCTGCTGCATTGTTAACGAGTGCACTACACACGCGGATTTACGAATCCTCGGGAAAGCAACCAGCTTACCGTCCCATCCTTTCTTCGAAGACGCACTCGCGAAGGCGTCCTTGTCCATGTCTCGAAAACGCTCTAACGGCGCTCCAAGGTTGCTCGTGACTTGTATGCTGCAGGCTGCCACGGTACAGGTTTTGCTCGCCATTCACCTCGAAAAACGGCCAGGATATTGACGATAACCAAGCTCTACTCTCATATATTTCTATGCTCAATTTATCACGGCCTGCTCTTGATTTCAACGGGAGGTACAGTTGCTGGTAACGTGGAAATGGTTTTTCTTGTGGCAGAGAGAATCTTGAATAGCTTCCTTGCTTGCTGCTTGTTACGTTTCTGTAAGTGCAGAGAATTTAGAAATTCCAAGATTGATGTGGATGCTGTGTGGTTCAAGTACACCTGATGCTCACCCCATGCGCGCGAATTTGCCTTGCGCCGGATGGATACGCTGCACCCGAGGTTGTTTCCCCAGCTTCATGCACCTACATTACAAGCGCGTCAAGCAGAAGAGACCGAAGTCAAGCAGAAGAGACTGAAGTCAAACAAGGTAACTAGGTAGCAGGGTCTTGTTTATAAGCACATGCGAATTCTTTTTAGCTAGCTGCGAATTGACGAACTTAAGCGAATCGCTCTGTTACAGCTTATACGCCCCCTTCACAAGGCAACCGGGAGGGGCTCAAACAGGCATCATGTGTACTTGTAGGATAAACTGCATGGGAGGTTCGGGGGTGGGGGAGAGGTTGGTCTGGGGAGGGGGAGGTGGAGGGGAGGAAAGTAGCCCAAGCTTTGCAGGTTTGTTGCGTTGCGACGCGGCGGAACGCACGTGCGGAGAGGGGAGGAAACATGGTGGTGAAGTGTTGGCGCCAGGCCTGAATGCGCACACCCCGCGTGCGGGGAAATATTCGCGTGATGTTGTTGAAAGGGGATGGGAAGGGGAGCGGAGCGGAGAAGGGGAGAACTGAGAGGGGGAAGGGGAGGGAAAGAGACGCAACACAAGCAGAGCTGAGGCGCACAATGGATTTTGAAATTTACGACGTTGAGACGCTTTGATCGGGTTACGGGTAGTTACAGAACGAGTTATTACGGTTCAAAAGGGTCAAAAGCAGTTGGATTTTGAGACTATCCAAACCAACCTGAAACAGTTTTGGGTTTGGCCAAGGAGGAGGGGGGACAAGACAACGTGCGGGGGTGGGAGGGGATCAATTGCAGCTGGTTTGGTTTGCTCTGTGGCTTGGCCCGTGCCATGTGACCCACTGTGTACCGAACATGTGCAACGACTGTGTCAATTCACGCGACGACGTGGCAAGCACTTACAGCTGTGCTGTACGGATCAGTCCTTCCCTCTTCGGCCATTGGTTAACACTGACTTTAAACCTATGTTTGACTCGTGGTATGGCAGGCTCTCCATGTGGCGTCAGCGAACCAAACAACAACATCAGCATGCGGAAGGTTTGACAGCTTGATGTTCGGCACCCACGCTGGGCGCAGTTTGGGCAGTACAGTACATCAGAACGCCTTGGCTCGGCACGAATCGGCTCGGGGTGAAGTTTTACCGCTGTTACGAGTGCAATTGAGTGATCGAGCGAGAGTTGCACCATCTAAGCAAGAGTACAATGAGGGGAAAATATGCGACTAATAATCAAGAAGGGTCTCGATAATATGTTTGGTAAAGAAATGACGGGTACAGTCACTGCAAAGGATGTTTTCACTTGTTTGAGATAAAGTTTCACGGAATCAGTCACACTCAACTGGGAAAAAAAACGTGAATGGTCACAGATGAAACTCTCGCCGAAAAAATATAATACCCTAAACGAACCTGGATGCATTTTCGGATGAATCAACCCCAAACACAATTCGCCATGTGTTTAGGGATGATCCGTTCCCAAACGTATCCGATTCCGATTCGGTTTTAAATATTTTTTTAAGTTAGCTGATTGGTTGGGCACGAGCAGAATTTTGTAGAGTTTCAAGAATTTTTGGCGGAAGTTACATGTGAGACCATTCGAGTGATTTTTTACATGTTGTTCGAGATTGAATTCGTGACCCCACTTGCCAACCCGTCAGCAAACCCGATACACTGACCATAAGTGTTATTTTTTTACCATACACGTTATCGAGTCATATGCTCGTTTCTTGTGACATATTTTCCCTACAATGAGCGTAGGCATGAGCGAAGAATGTATCGCAAAACTACAGTGGTAACGGTAATGCGAGAAAATGGGGTGCGCGACGTGTCAGACTTATATGACTTAGCATATGTAGGCTATAGTGGGGTAGCACAAATGGGGTTACAACATATTTCTAGGGTTTGTATTTGTACCCAACCTTTCCACTAGTCCATCATTCCTCGTAATCTTCACATAGTATAGAGCAGGTTCCCTAGTGGGAACGTTTCCTAGGGCACACCACTGAAAATCGAAAAAAAAAATCATGCCCGGAGCGCGCTTCGCTCCTGCCCGAGTCGCGCCGCGCGTGCCTTCTCTCCCGTCGCGTCCCCTGCCCTTAGCGGCCCCTCGCGCCCTCTTACGGCCCCTCGCGCCCCCCCCCCCCCCCCCCCCCCCCCCCCTCTCACGGCCCTTCGCGGCCCCTTCACGGCTCTCTTGCGGCCCCTGCGCCGCCCTTCCCGGCCCCTGCGCGGCACCATCTCGGCCCCGCCGCCGTCCTTCGCGGCCCCTTCCCAGCCCTTCGTGGCCCCTTCGCCGCCCTTAGCGGCCCCTTCTCCGCTCCTCCACGGCCCTGCCTGAGAAGAAACGAGAATGAATGAACTATGAATGAATTGGGTACAAGTACTAACCCTAATTGGGTTGTACCCCTTATGGGCTACCCCACTATAGCCTACAGAATATGAATGAGCTATAATGTTCTGACACACCCCCATAGGCAAAGTGGGGGAGAACAAGGGGTCACAAGACCAGTCAAGCAAAGCAAAACAAAGCAAGCTCAGGGTGGATCACAAAGTCACCACACATTCCGAGCACAAGTTCAAGGCCACAAGGCCAGTTCACATGCAGGAGTACACATATATATATAAAAGGCTAGACAAGCAAGAGCAGGTGTATATATATGTAACAGTACAAGCAAGGTCAAGAGGTGAGCAAGTGAGGCAAGGTAGGCACAAGGCCCAGCTGAGTACAGATTCGCTGATGGTCACAAGGCGCAAGCGCCTTGGTGAAGATATCTGCAGTGTTGGCCTCAGAGGCCACATACGCAAGACGCAGCTGACCACGCTGCTGCAGCTCACGAGCAAGAAAGTAGCGGAGAGCAATGTGCTTCGTTCTATGCTCCAGTCGCTGCTCCTGACACAAGGCCAGCATGGCCTTGTTGTCTACGTACAGCACTGGAGGAGAACGAGGCGGCTCTCCGAGGTCAGTTAGCAGGTAGGTGAGCCAGCGAAGCTCCTGTGCAGCCATGGCTCCTACGTAGATCTCAGCCTCACAACTGGAGCCGAGAACAGAAGACGAGAGAGTAGCCCGCCACGAGACAGAGCCGGAACCAAGGCTGAAGGTGTAACCCTGTGAAGACCGCTGCGTACCTTGGTCATCAGCCCAAGAAGCGTCTGCGTGCCCAGTGAGGACCACTGAACTCTGCCCTCCAAGCACAAGCCCCATGCCCGACGTACTGCACAAGTAGCGCAACACCCTCTTCGCTACAGCCATGTGCTCCGGTTTGTGTCTCCCAGGAGCAACATAGCGTGCGAGAATGCTAAGAGGGTATGCAAGGTCAGGTCGTGTGCAGGTCATCACGTACATGAGGCAGCCAACAAGCTCTGGGTACGGGCCACTCGACTCTACGGACTCATCCGAAGGAAGAGCTGAGAGCGAGTTGCGAGTAGGCAGAGGAGTGGCCTGAGGCGAGGAGTACGTGAAGCCGAAGCGCTGAAGGACCTGCTGCACCATGTGTGACTCAGTCACGATAATGGTGTGGCGAGCTCTGTCCCGAGTGATCTGCAAGCCAAGGTAGCTGCGCAGTTCACCCAGGTCTGTGCACGTGTGTCTCTCCTGCAGCTCGGACTTCATGTGGGCGAGTCCAGCAGTGTCAGCTGTGGCAAAGACCAAGTCGTCCACGTACACGAGGATGTAGAACGGCGGCAAAGAAGTGTCGGTGCGCAGAAACAGCGACGGGTCGGCAGTAGAGGGAGCAAACCCAAGAGCCGCAAGTATAGTCCTCAATGTGTCGTGCCACTCACGCGGTGCCTAGTGGAGACTATAGACTGGCCGCCGGAGGCTCCACTGGATGCCAGAAGGAAAAGACCCAGTGAAACCAGGTGGGCGACGCAGCCAAATCTCCTCGTGCAGGCTGCCCTGCAAGAAAGCTGTGCTGAAGTCAAGAGAGTGTAGCTCGTAGTCACGGTGAGCAGCTATGTGCAGCAGTACCCGAAGAGTGGTCATCTTCGGGGTGGGAGAGAAGGTCTGAAAGTAGTCAACTCCCTGCCGCTGACTGAAGCCACGAGCCACGTAACGCGCCATGAAGACATGCGGAGAACCCGACGGTCCCTTCACCCTGAAAATCCACATGCCACTGAGGATGTTCGCCCTAGGAGGGGGAACAGCGTCAACGTAGGTGCCTGTGGACTTCCAGGAAGCCATCTCTGCGTCCATAGCTGCCTGCCACTGAGAGGAGTAGGGACCCTCTATCGCCTCCGCGTAAGAGCGCGGAGTCGGGATGTCAAGTGCATCCGGGTCTCCCTCAAGGGTAAGTAGTACGGACACGAGATGAGGTGAAGCAGCTGCCAGAAAGTGGAACTCCTCCTGCCTGTCCTCAAGGACGTCCGTGCTAAGGGCACACTCACCCGCGACGGACGGAGGACAGACAGACTCAGACTCAGCGACAAGACTAGAAGCGTAGTCTAGGCGACAACGAGCAGCAAAGTCGACGAGCTCAGCAACTAGGGCAGAAGCAGCAGTGGACTCAAAGGAAGGGTCAGTGATGACGGTAGCAAGGAGACGCGTGAAAGTAGGACTAGCAGCACGAAGAGAGTCCGACTCTGGGTCGGCAAGAGCAGGAAGAGAAGACTCAGAAGAAGAAGGCAAAGGGGCACGCAGAGGAGCAGTGGACGGGCGCACAGACATCCGATGCGTGTCAGGGACAAGAGGAGGACGCTGACGCGAACCGCGATCACTAGTACGAGCAGCACGAACAGGCGACGCAGGG